TCAAACATAAATCTGTAATTTATCAACCATTCAACAGACCTTAACACCCAAATGCTCCATGTGCCCAAATGTTTCTGTTCTGGAAACCAGAGATTTCCAGGGGGAAAAAAAAGGCAAAATGCCTACCCTCATGGGGCGTGCAATCTAGCAGGAGAAACAAAGAATATGTAAAATAAGTAAATAGGTAGTATTACGGTGAAAAGGTAAGCAGGGAAGAGAGAGGAAATGGGGTTTGCAATTTTTTTTTTAATTCCAGTATAATTAACATATAGTTTTATATTAGTTTCAGGTATACAATATAGTAATCCAGCAATTCTACGCATTACTAAATGCTAATCACGTGAATATATTCTTAACCCCCTTCATTCATTTCGCCCATCCCCCCACAACCTTCCCTCTGGTAACCATCAGTTTCTTCTCTATAGTTAAAAGTCCACTTAAAAAAATAAATAATATAAAACTCTATTTTTTTATTTGTCTCTGTTTTCTTTGTTTATTCATTTTTTTTCTGAAATTCCACATAGGAGTGAACTCATGGCATTTTTCTTTCTCTGACTTATTTCACTTAGCATTATATCCTCTAGATCCATCTACGTTGCAAATGGCAAGATTTAATTTTATGGCTGAGTAATATTCCAGTGTGTGTGTGTGTGTGTGTGTGTGTGTGTGTGTGTGTGTGTTTACCACCTATTCTTTACCCATTCATCCATCAATGGACACAGGCTGCCTCCATAAGATGAGTATTATAAATAATGCTGCAACAAGCATGGGAATGTGTGTATCCCTTCAAGTTAGCATTGTAGTTGTATTTTTTGGGTAAGTACCCAGTAGTAGAATTACTTGACCATACAGTAATTCTGTTTTTAATTTTTAAGGAGCCTCCATACTGTTTGCTACAGTGGCTGTACCAGTTTACATTCCTACCAACAGCACATGAGGGTCCCTTTTTCTCCACATCCTCACCAACTCTTGTTGTTTCTTGAGTTTTTGATTTTAATCATTCTGACAGGTGTGAGTTGATATCTCATTGTCATTTTCATTTGCATGTCCTTGATGAGTGATGTTGAGCATCTTTCCGTGCATCTCTTGGCCATCTGTGTCTTCTTTGAGATGCCTATTCATGTCTGTTGACCTTTTTTAATTGGATTACTTTTTTTTAATGTTGGGTTGTAGAAGTTCTTTATATATGTTGGATACTAACCCCTTATCAGATCTATCATTCGCAAATATCTTCTCCCATGCAATAGGTTGTCATTTAGTTTTGTTGATTGTTTCTTTTGCTGTGCAGAAGCTTTTTATTTTGATATAGTCCCCATAGTTTATTTTTCCATTTGTCTCCCTTGCCTCAGGAGACATATATAGAAAAATGTTGCTATGGCCAATGTCAGATAAATTACTGCCTATGCTCTCTTCTAGGATTTACATAGTTTCAGATCTCACATTTAGGTCTTTAATCCATTTTGAGTTTATTTTGTGTTTGGTATGAGAAAGTTGTCCAGTTTGATTCTTTTGCACGTTGCTTACCAGTTTTCCCACCACCATTTGTTGAAGAGACTGTCTTCTTCCATTGCATATTCTTGCCTCCCTTGTCACAGATTAGTTGACCATACTATTGTGGGTTTATCTCTAGGCTTTCTATTCTATGTGTCTATTTTTGTGCCAGTATTATACTTTTTTGATTACTACAGCTTTGTGGTATATCTTGACATTGAGCATTGTGATACTCCCGGTTTTGTTCTTCTTTTTCAAGATTGCTTGGCTATTTGAGTCTTTTGTGATTCTATATAAATTTTAGGATTTTTTTTCTAGTTCAGTGAAAAATGCTGTTGCTATTGTGATAGGGATTGTCTTAAATCTATAGATTTCTTTGGGTTGTATAGACATGTTAACAATATTTGTTCTCCCAGTTCATGAGCGTGGAATATCTTTCCAAACAAATATCTTTGTGTCATCTTCAATTTCTTTCATTAATATTTTATAGTTTTTAGAGTACAGGTCTTTCGCCTCCTTGCTTAAGTTTATTTATCGGCATTTTGTTATTTTTGGTACAATTGTTAATGGAACTGTTTTCTTAATTTCTCTTTCTGCTACTTCATTATTAATGTATAGAAATGCAACACATTTCTGTATATTGAGTTTTTATTCTGTGACCTTATTGAATTAATTTATTAATTTTGGTAGTTTTTTGGTAGTCTTTAGGGTTTTATATATGTATCATGTCATCTACAAATAGTCAAAGCTTTACTTCTTCCTTACCAATTTAGATGCTTTTTATTACTTTTTCTTGTCTGATTGTTATGGCAAGGACTTCCAGTACTATATTGAATGGGTTTGAAATTTTTAATAGAGGAATCAAGAAAAATCTCAATGAGAAAGAGACTATAGAGCAAAGGCCCCCAAAATACCAAACTAGATAATTAAACTTTACATTTTTGGCTTCTAATCATCTACCCAGATGACTGTGGTCCAATTGAAGCAAGTATTTTAAGAATTGTAAAGGGTATGTCATGATCAAAAGTCCTTAAGGTGGTAAACAGAATCACAAAACAGCTGGCCATCCTGGGCCCTCTTGGGGATATCAAGTCAAGTACGATTTTTGTAGAAAAGAGTGGGAGTGCATGTTTTGATGACCACGTGTACTTTTATGAGGATCTTCTGTCCTCTCTTTCTCAAGCTTCTATTGAATCATAGCACCTAGCCTCTTTGCTTTCTTAGAATCAACTCAATTTTCAGATGAGTAAAAAACAGAAAAAAAAACTATACTTTCTGCCACATTAAGTCGTAGAAAAGAGCCATGCGTGTGACTATACGCTAAACACAAGTCAAAGTCATGGGATTCTTTTTTAACGTAACTTTGTGCTCCGTATGTGAGAATACTGAACTGTAAGGTAATCTGTGATCTGTGGGTGATTATGGTGTGTCCGTATAGGTTCACCATTTGTAACAAGTGTATCCCTCTGAGAGTGGATGCTGATAATGGAGGAGGCTAAGCAGGTCAGGGGCAGGCAGGACATGGGAAATAGCTATACTTTCCCCTCCGTTTTTCTGTGAACCTCATGCTGCTCTGAAACAATAAAATCTTGATTTAAAAGAAATGAATGAAACGGAGGCAAAAAGATCCATTCATTCAATTCTCTGTGTGTTAGCTACACCCTAATTTGTGGGGACCGGTCCTTTGTAAGACTATCGATTTGAAGGAGCTCCGCATGTTTACCTGCTTCGAGTTGAAAACTGTTTTCTACTACAGGAGTCTCATATAGAACACGGCCATATGCACCTGCTCCACCAGGATGCGGTATCTATCTTGATGATGGTACTCACCACTTTTGATAGGAATCACATACATACTCGCCTGCTTATCTAACAGCGGTGAGATCCTCTCAGGAACTAAATCTCAGGCTTTGCACGGTACCCAGCCACTAATTGGTCCTTACTGAATGTTGCCTGCCTGGTATTGTTCCCAGTTGAACTCTTCACAAGAACCATACCGTCCGCTACCGTTTGTTGAGCATCTACTATTGTGGCATCATTATCTGTAATCTTCACGGCAACCGGAATTAGGTCCTGTGCCAGTGGTACAGATGACAAAACCGAGGCTTGGTAGGTTTAAGTACTTCGTCTAAGTGTCCACAATCGGCAGAATGGAAAGACGAGGAACCTGCCCCGGGCCATTATGACCCGAAACTACCCTTTTGGTTACGTCCTCGGCATCTCTTGAAGATAACTCGATGAGACATCCCAGGGGGAACAAGGAGGAGAGAAGCCATTTTTCTCTCCTTCTGGTTCCCAGCAAGGCCAAAAGAACATATTTGGGACACCTAACACACAGTCATTTGTCTGGTAGGATTTGTCTGCCACCACATCTCTGTCTTTGTGAACTGTGATGCATCAGAGACACAGCGGCCACTGCCCTTTTATCTCTGTGCCAGCCACATTTAGAAAGAGGTGAAATTGAAGTAGAACGAGGTTAAATGGGTTCTCATAATAGAATCCACTATCTCTTACTATTAGAGCACTTGAAAGCCCCTAGTCTTCCTCTATTTCCCTTTTAGAGAATTAAACAAAAAAAAAAAAAACCCAAAAAAAAAAAACAAAAAAAAGCAAGCAAACCACACAGTTAGGATGAGATGATGAGAAGGATGTATAAAGGAGCTGTTTGGCCCTCTTGCAGGCCCTCGTGCGCTCGTATTTACAGACGTCTTACCAAGAGAGCGTGTCCTGCGGAACGTGTAGGAATTGGGGATGTTGAATTTTTGGCTAAGTCTTGGCCGCTCTTAGCTGTGTTCGGAGTTTGACCGGGGCAGGTCTGACAGAGTGCTGACGTGTGGTTTCCCCTACTTTGTTCAGGCTCTGGCGTGTTATCTCTCAGCTAGCAGAACGACCTTATGGTTTATTTGGCTTGGGGTGCATAAGGGCCCGAGTTACGTAAGGCTATTAAATCACAACCTGCCGAGGTGTCTTTGGAAGGCTGTTAGCCTCGTTCATTCTGGGCAAATACAATTAAGGTCCTGGCTATTATTTACAGCAAATACCAGTGAAAATAACCTCAGGTTCCTGGGTTGATTAACACTGACGCTGAGGGGAAGGGGGAGGATCAGCATGAACGTGGTCGGTGTCGTAGCTTGCACTGATTAAAACCCTCCTTGTCGTATTCTATATCGCTGTACTGTAGTTATAGTAAATGTTCCTTGTAATGCATTTTCAAGTACAAAAATTGCTTCAGAAAAGAGCATTTAGAAAACTAATTCTATTGAAACCAATGGAGTGTTGACACATTGCCTGATGCAGATTTGTTTAAAGAGGCTTGTTTTAAGTTCTAAAAGTACAGTCCTAGAGGCAAAAATCAGTGAGTCCTCAGTCTAGCGACAGAGAGAACAGTAGAGCAGTATGTTCAGCCAGCACCCCCTCATTAATCCTTTCCCGTAATTCTATCCTAGTCGCCTTCCCCCTTGCCTGACTCTATAGAATTTCAAACCCGCTGCCAGCCCAGGAACTTGCTCAGAAGCCATTCATTACCCAGGCAAGGCATTTATAATGTTTGCTGATGTGTCGGTGAATAGGAACACAGTGTAAATCTGGACTGAAGGGTGCTCTCTTTGTCACCTAAATTGCTCCTATGCAATGTGTTCCACAAGCGTTAGAAATCACCGGGGGTTTTGACACGCTCATCTTTTCTGAACGTAGCATTTCCCTCGGCCCAACCTTGGGAACAGAAAGGGATGCAGACTGTTTCCAGCTGAAAAGAGAGATAGGGCGTTAAGTAAAGAGCTTATTATTTACCTCAAACTAGGCCACTGGCTCCCACAGAAACCCTTCGATGCCTGCAGCCGCCGCTAAAATCGGACTTGACGGTGGGCATCTCTGGCATCCTAAACAGGTCCCTAATGTAACCTAATTAAGCAGTTTGGGGACGAGAGAGTGTCCGTGAAGGAAGGGAGTGGTCCAGCAAAGAGAGCTGTTCCAGTCTTTATGTGAAAAACTGTGCCTAGGGAAAGACATACCACGTTGATTGTTGAGTAGTGGTTTCAGATTTCAAAGCTGCTTTGCCCTGCTATGATATTTAGGGATGTCTACCAAGAAACGTGTGGACACGGGGTTTCTGGCAGCATAGAGGCTGGCACTCCTTCTTTTGCTCACTTGGGCGGCGAATTCATCAGATTTGTTATGGCTACTTGTATCCATGGTCGTCTGTCTGGAAACCTGAGTGAGTCACTGTTTCTCCAGATTCTGTTTCTGCTATCACTAGGACATTCCACAGATGTTAGTTTTTTGTTTGTTTCTTTTTTAATGGAGGTGAAATTTATATAGCATAACATCAATCTTCCAGGGGCGTTTGGTACCTCATCAGCGCTGTGTAACCGCCTCTATCTGGTACCAAAACATTCTCATCACCTTAAAAAGAAAATTGCATGCCCATGACGCAGCTATTCCCCTATCCCTTCCTCTTCCTCATCCCTCGTAGCCAATATTCTGCATTCTGTCTCTATGGGTTTACCTATTCTGGATATTTCTGAGAAATGAAACCATATAAGATGAGGCCTTTTATGTCTGGCCCCTTTCACTTAGTGACAGGTTTTCAAGATTCATATACATCGTATCACTCCTTTTTATAGCTGAATAATGCTCCACTGAATGGACATACCGCAGTTGTCCATTTATACATTAATGGATGTTTGGGATGTTTCCACATTCTGGCTGTTGTGAATAGTGCTGCTATAGACATGTGGGTGCAGGTATGTGTTGAGTACCTGCTTTTGATTCTTTGGGGGGTATATACTTAGAGGTAGAATTGCTAGCTCATATGGCAATTCTACACTTACCATTTTAAGGAAACTCCAGACTGTTTTCCACAGCACAGCTTCATGTTACATTCCCATCGGCCATGTGCAAGGCTTCTAATTTTCCCACATCCCCACCAACACTTGCTATTTGTTTTCTCTTTCTTATATCCATCATGTTGGGTGTGAAATGTAGGAATCACCTCCATTGGACCCTGGCCCCAGGGCCTATGTACAGCTAGGAGGGAGAAGAGAGCACAGACCAGTCCTGGGGCAGAAGTTTGAAATAGAGTGAGGGATTGGCATTCCCCATGTTCTTGCTATAAGCCTTTCCTACCACCTAAGGTCTTCTCTTCCTGCCAACATGCCTATCATATCCGGGAGCTGTGTTAAGTACCTCTTTCCCTTCATCCACCCAAACCAACCCTCCAGTCCTTCAAAGGACTCTATCCTCTGAAGATAGTGCATCTCCCAGTCAAAATAGTCAACTCCTCAATGCCCTCACAAAAGCAGATTCCAAAGAGTCCCTTCATCTTCAAAGAGGTCTCTTCATTACAGAAATACGAGATTTGTTAACCCAGATAAGTGATATGGAACATCAGTGAAGAGTTCTTGAGGACAAAAGAACTCCATTGTGAGCAGGCCAGTTTTCTCAGAATGCTTCTTAGATCTGTGTCCCTAAGCCACCCACCTTGTCTGGCTTTCCCCACCTTCTTCCATGCTGAGCCCAGCTTCTCTGAGAAGCCCATGGCTTTTTCATGAAGTTTCCCACAATAGCCCCAATCACTGGTGGTGGGAGGATGTGGTGAGACACCCAGTGGAGTCATTGCTCTGAGAAGATTTTGTATCTTCCAGGCGCCCGTAAGTTTAAGACAATCTCTGCTGTGTTTGACCTGAGATTTATAACCAAATCTCCTGATCTCACAAAGAAATTTCGAGGTGTCATTTGTGGTTTATACCTCTCTGTTCCTTTTTTGTAATTCCTTAAATCTTTGTTCATTTTTTGTCCACCTTTTTTTTTAATCTGTACAGAGGTATATATTACTGTTCCATGTTGCAACTAAGAAAACTGAGGCTTGGGGAAAAAAAGGAAAAAAGAAAAAAAAAAAAAAACAACCCACAACTGAGGCCTGTGAATCCTAAGGAACTTGGGTAAAATGACATAGCTAGTCAGTGACTGAGCCAAAATTCCAAACTAGATCTGTCTCTTTCCAGAGCCAGAGCCCTAACCTCTACATTTTACTACCCTAATCAATCAGCTTTGCCCAGAATCTTAGCCCTGGAGCAGATCTTTGAGATCACTGAGTCCAGCTAATTCATTTTTCAAACGCAAAGGTGTTGGGAGGTTTCATTATTTTTGTACCTCTCCATATTACACAAGGCTTTCCACAGAAACAGAATAATGGGATGTATTCTTTATATATATATAGAGAGAGAGATTTACTTTAAGGAATTGGGCTCACGCAATTGTGGAGGCCTTGGCAAGTCCAAAAAAAATCTGATGGGGTTGATCAGTAGGCTGGGAACGTGTGAAAGAGTTACAGTTCTGTCCAAAGCACATCTGCTGGCAGAAATGTCTTCTTCCTCAAAGAGGTCAGTCTGTGTTCTATTAAGCCCTTCCACACATTGGATGAGGATTTTCTGCTTTGCTCACCGTTCATGGATTTAAATTTTAATCTCATCAAAAAATCGCCTTCAAAGAAAGATCCAGAATAACATTTGACCAAACCTCTGGCCCCCGTGGCCCAGCCAAGTTGACGCCTAAAACCAAACATCACACTTTCCTTCCACACCATCGTCTGCACACTCAGTCACGCAAGCTGTCATTTCCTTGGAGTGAATTCAGTCTTCTCTAACCCACATCACATGCTACTACGAATGGAGCAGCGGCTCTTGAGTGACTTCTTTGCTGGACTGTTCGATGATTTTACTCGTGAACCCAACAATCTAAGCGATGTTACGGGAATCCCAGTCTCTCATGTGTGTCCACCCCGTGGCCTGACCAGTGAAACCCTCTCAGGTTTCCACTGAGGCAAAGAGGCAAATGCTTTGGTTAATTGGTGTGGTCCAGTCTCTGTTTGAGAAAGACGTGTTTCCTTGGCCATAGTTTAGGGTTTCATGCTGATCTGGTTGACACAGTTCAGATCAGTTTGACCCACCGCGGCAGTAGCTTGCCTTTGATCTGGAGTCTGGTTTGTAATATGACCCATTCAGATGGCTTTCCTATAATAGTCAGGCCAGACAAAACCAAATCATCCCATTTATCTTAATGGGCTTTTTCTTTTTCTTCTCTCATTTTTTTTTTTCTTTTTTCCTTTTTTTTTTTAATTACGATTTTTTTAGACAGGAGGCCTTGCCGATCTTTTGTTGAGAAGAAAAAGGAATCTGCGTATCTGATAGGCTTTGAAATACCATCTGGTGTTTAATGTTATTGTGCTCTGTTCTCCCAGGGTGTGCTGAATCATATCTTCAAAGTTCAACGGCCATTCAGTCAGTCACCACTCAGTATCACTCATTATCAACTGTTTAAATTTACAGAATGCTACCTGGAAACAAAGCCCACTTAACAGGCTGCTTTCCCTGAGACCAGGTCTGCTGCTTGAGACGGGTCTTCCAGTGTGAGGTCCGTTTGTCGGACATTTGTCCCGGCCCTTGGGTACCCAGCAGAACTTGTGATCCTGAAAAGAGCTGGTTGAATTACATAATTTTATGTGACAAAAGAAACACGACCGTATTCTTCTGCTAAGATCGAGTCTGCGTTTGCTTTACTCTTCTTTTATAAACACCCATATATTGGCAACGAATGTGTGAACAGGTAAACTTCATTTGAATCGTGAAATACATGCCCAAAGGGTTAAATGTTCACAGACACTCTCCAAGTGTTAAGTGCAGTAGGAAAACCCATCAGGGAAATAAAGCCTGTGATGCATTGTGTCAGGAATGGGGGGTGTGGGGGGACGGGGCGCGGTGGACATTTTGTAAGAGAATACTCATCCCAGAATGCATCTGTTTGGCAGGTGAAAATATTTTTTTCAGAGGAACACACACCTCTCTTTAGCACAGTTTCACAAGCTTAAGCTGTTTCATTAAATGCCTGGACATAACTTGCGCTTACTCCTTTTAGAATGACAATGCGGCTTTCTCTTTTCACTTAATAATGATCAGGTTTACTTGTACGAAGCACGGCACTATAGTGCTTGACGCAATAGCCATAAACAACCTCTCCTAAAATGCATTTTTGCTTTTATACCTCAGTGAACAACTCTGTTTGAGTAAATGATCCATCCTTGAATTGTGTATACAGAGAGAAGATCAGCATTGGATTGTTGTTTTAATAAATTGGAAGTCTGCCAACATTCTCTGGGAAGAGGACGAAGACGTTAATGCTAGCATGCAATCTAGCCCGTGTTTGGATTTAAGGTGGAATTTAATCTTCTTGCCTCCTTTTCCTCCCCCCTCCCCCTTCCCAGTTCTTTCTTCCCTTGATACACAGTCTCTTTTCATGGAGTTAACTCAAGCTATCTTAAACAGCATGAACTAATAAAGGATGGCAGTTTTAAAAGGGGAGGCATTCACAAATGTTGGAATGTGGAACATTTTAAATTCTTTCCGTGGTGCTTAGTTTAAGAGAGTGGTGATTAATGAGTTTATGTTATCTATCAAAATGCTTCCATCATGCTGCTGATGTGACATGGGATTTATGGTAATGAAAAACCTGCAATCCATCCCTGGTATCTAAATTTATCAGCCCCACGTTCATACATAAAGCCCTAAATGATATATTTGTAGCTCTCTGAAAGCAAGATCATTTTTAAGAGATTATGTCCTGCCAAAAGGGAACGTTCTTAAAATATAGGAAAGGAAACAATTTCCTTTTCACCCTATTGCTCTAGCAAGCATCATACTAGGTCACATGAGTGGGCTAGTCATGCTCCGTGAATTTCCTGTAATTTTCTGGGAACTCCTTTGTAATACATTTGCAAAGGGTCCTGTGGATTTTCATTGGGCGAGTTTGCAACTGCTCTTTGTGCTGTGCGTCTTCGAAGGGGAAAATCCTCTCGAACCTAGAATAAAACTCACTTGGCTCCATCTGTCAGCTAAGAGTGTTCCAAGTAGTCCCATAAAAAGCCTCATCCATTCGCAGCACCTGGAGGAAAACAAACCCTCCCCGCCCCCCACTTCTTCTTCATTAGGCAAGATATTTCTGTTTCTGCAAGGCCTTATAGAAAGGATGAAAATGTGTTTCCAAAAATTTCCTATATCTTGCTTCCCAACTCCCTCTCAAATGGCACCAAAGTATGGTCAAAACATGCCATGTTATTACATGGGTTTGTGAATGCATATATTAGATGGGAAGATACTGGATGGGGTTTCCAAGACAAGGTCTCTTACCATGCTGCAGCACGTTGATTAGAATTGGTGTGCCTGAGGGACGCCCGGGTGACTCAGTGGGTTGGGCTTCCGACTTCTGCCCGGGTCATGATCTCACAGTTTGCGAGTTTGAGCCACGAGACGGGCTCTGCTCGTCTCGAGACTGCTCAGAGCCTGGATCCTGCTTTGGAATCTCTGTCTCCCTCATCTCTGCCCTTCCCCCACTCATCCCCTGTGTCTCTCTCAAAAATAAATAAGCATTAAAAAAAAAATTTAGAAGCGGTGTGCCCCAAAATAAACTTGTCTCTGCAAATGGTAAAAACACTGACCTTTGCGCTCGGTTTACTTTTTAACAAATTTTGACCAAAGCAAGTATACACTCTTTGAAAGCTTGGTCTGTTACTTGATCTCAGAAACACATTGATGACTGGGAGAAAAGGGGCGGAGCTACCCCTCTAAGAAGGGCATGTGTTTCTAGCATAACCCTCCAGAACACCACTGTGAGTTATGTATGCTCTGGGGGGGGTGCAGAGTCACTGTTCTTCAAATCCTGAGGACCCGTCTATATTCTCACTCTGTGCATAATCGTTTTCATCAGGGTCATCTCCGTGTCAGGCATTTGGGTGCCTACATTTCGAGTTAATCCATTTTTGTGTGCTTTGGAAAGCAGACAAAGAGCCCTGTAGTGGAATATTTTTCTTAAGGCAGAATTTCTACCTCCAGAGTGTGGACACAAGCTCACTGTGTTCCAGAAACAGCACAAGCT